GGAGGGAGGGAGGGAGGGAGGGAGGGAGGGGTTAGAGTCAAGGAGGATACCATGTTTTTTTTCATTTGATGGTTCTTCAAGATCCAGCCACTTCTAGATATTTAGATAGTGGCCCTATGCTCATCTTGGGATTTCTTGATCTGACCCGTAAAACTCTCTGCAACCACTAGATGGCAAAAAAGGGATTGAGAACTCTTGCTCTTTGCTGCCATCATGTGGCCACACTAAGTTTTGCAAAGCAGGTGTGGAAACTTACCCATCTTAATGTCAATAGAGATTCTCAGTCTCCAAACCATAGTTGTCCCAGATGTGCTTTTTTTCCCCAAAAGGCAACCGGACTTTGTTTTTCCTTGAAGATGTTTTGCTTCTCATCCAAGAATCTTCATCAGTTCTGACTGGATGATGGAGAATGGAAGGATTTATACCTCTGACATAAGTGGGGCATGGTGGTAATATTAGAACCATTGCCCATTTACTATACGTTTCTGCTTAGTTTGGTTAGATTAAAAAGACCAGGATATTTAGCTGCTAATTCTAACTCTCCCAGAATCCTGATATCGAATGAAAAATTTCTTCCATGGTTCTTCCCACCAGGAGGTCAAACATGTTGAGGAGCATTTCATGTGGGAGTCCTTCAACCATGCCATTCCGTCTTGTGTGTGCAATTAGGACACTAGCAACTGCCTAAACTTAAAAAAAAACACTTTAATTTGGCTTTGTGTATGCCACGGGGAGAGATTCCTTACAGCTTTGACGTGAAGCTGCCTTTAGTGGCATGTTTTGCCACGGAGCACTCAAACGCCAATTCAAACGTTGCAGGCCCATGCATATTCATTAGCCAAAGACAACGGCCTGTGGAAATATTCCCACACGGAAATTATAGTATTTGTAGACTGCCGACCGCAGAGACTTCCAAACTCAGTGCTGTAGACATCTGAGGACAATTGACATTAGCAGAGGCTCGCCAACGAATTAGCTAGAGCGCGGTTTCTCCACTTAGTGCAACTTTTTAAGATGGCTGGGCTTCAAACTCCCAGAATTCCCCAGCCAGCCGAATCAAACTGAAGAAGCATCTGGGATGAGAAACGAAACGTCTTCAAGGGAAAAAAAATCTAAGAAAGTCCACTTGCCTTTTTCAAAAACAGCGTCTGTGGGACAATTGTGAGCTGGATGACTGAGAATCTCCGCAGGCATTTCAGAAGGAGCTTGCCATTACTTCTTTCCAAGGGCTACGGGGGAGTGACTGGTCCAAAGTCAACCAGTTTGTATTGTATTTGTATTTATTAGTTTTGTATGCCGCCCACTCTCTCTCCTGTCAAGTTACAAGACCCTCGCACCTCTAACCCTTTAGAAAGAAAACCCCCAGGGGTGTTCAAACTTGACAGCTTTAAGACNATAAAACACAACTTTCATTCAACAATCAAACACTCGGGCGGGTAATTGCACAGTTGGAATGTTTTGGCTTTCTTACAGATAATACTTCTGAGAAGCAACTGTGTTTGCAAAAGGATTTTGGAGGCAGCATGCTGGTGTTGTATTTTTCACATCATCTGAATATGAAGAAGGAATATTTTATTTGCCTTGTTGCTCCCTCACAGTTGCTACTGAATATAATTATATTTTCTGCAGTTTCTTTGATTTTTTATCACTGGAGAACATCTAAAATATTAAGGATTGATCACAGACGTTAATATGAGCAAACAGCATACAAGTTTATGATAAATTCCCAAAATGCACATAGATATGTAAAAAAGTTTGAATGCATTCTAAAGTGCTTAGTCCTTAAGCTGCAAGAGAAATATGGGAATATTATTTTCCTCTTTTATACATATCTGTTGTTGTCAATAAGCACATGTTTTCACATATTATGTGTGGATTACCATACAAAATTACAGTGTTGGATTTCCAGTACTGTACTTATCACTGCATTTGCATTTTTAGGTTTCATGACTTCCTCTCTCATTCTGAACCATTCTTCTTAGACCAAAATGCAGTTTAAAGACTCCATCTGGGAAGGAAAAGCTGGGCATACAAAACACCATTTTGTTAGAATAGACCTCTTTCTTGTTTATGATATATTTCCTATTGCATTTCAGAATCTCTGTGCTTGAGATTTTAGAAGGGGTTGATGCTAAATAAAATAAGTATAAGGTATATGGATTTTAAAGAAAGAATACTATTTGATTCAGTTGTCTAGGTATCTGAGAACACACCAATGTTATCTTCAGGAATGTCTCCAATGTCTTCCAAGCACATACAGATAACTTGTTCTCCTTGCCCTGGCTATCTATTTTACATTAATCCTGCCAAAGGTTTCTCAACAGACTTACTGTGAAATGACTTCCTCTCTGTGGTCTACCAGGACCAAGTACTGACAATTCTCAGCATTTCTACTAATCCCACCTTGTAATCAGTGATGTGC